CCCTTGGCATGGTTTGTGATGTTCATTGCTGTGTCAACACTATCAACACATGTTCGGCTGGAAACCCTGTGCCTCAGCACCCCTGCACGCGTCCAAGGGACGCTGACACCAATGTCGGAAACATTTGAGATGAAGTTTTGGCAGCTGACGGCCTTAGCAAACCTCTTTTTGCGCAAGAGCCGCCGCATCCCCCAAACGACAATTGCTGCAGCCACGCTGGAGGCCTCGTGAAGACGGAACAAGTCACTCTTTGATTGGAGACAAACCATGCTCACTCAGCAGGGTGTTCAGGCTGTCAATCTTGCTGGTAGATAGCATGTCAAAAAATGTTATAGATGGGCATTCGAAACCCAACAAAAGACCAACAAAAAAATGCGTAGGCAGAGCCGACTTCCAACACAACAGCAGGGAACTCCATACAAATACGAAGGCCACGGTGGGCCAAGGCGGCCAAGTCACTGCAATTTTGCCCGTCATGGCTCGAAGTCGGGCAAAAAATTGCTGCCTCTTCTGCATGGCACACCGCGTGCTTGAGTTCTTGTGTCCTTGCCTGTCACCACTGTCATTGGTAGCCTTCTCGTCATTGGCTTGTTTATAAGCTATGGATCACACCACAAAGATATTCGGCAAAAAACCTTGTTGGTTGGACTTCCTCTTGGTCAACTGACAGGTGGGAGTAGCTTTTGGAGCCGCCGAACTGCAAAACCAAGCATGGTGCAAGGCTATAAGTTTTATTATGTTTTATTTAGTCCAAGCTTTCATTTATATGCCATTTAGCTGGCATGTGCCTCAGCGTTTGAGGGTGTTCAAAGGCTTGGAGTGCTTGTCCTTTCACACAGAGCCCTGGAAGATATCCAAAGTCCAGCTGAGGCCGCACACTTACCCACAGCTCCCCCGAAGAGGACTGATACTGCCTGGCTGCCGGCATTTGCAGCTGTCGGTAAGCTTCAGAATGCTTGAGAACACATGACGCTAAGCTTCTGTATATAGATTCGGGCATGAACAAATGCCTGAGAGCAATAAGGCAATAAGCTGATGCTGACAGAAACGCTCGCTGGCTGCACTTCTCCCGGGAGGCCACCATCACACATCTCGTAGCAGGAGTGCAGCCTGGGTGACTTGCCCATCATGAGTTGCTCTCTGTACCTCTCCGTTCTCAGTGGTCAACTTGCAAAAGGCCTTCTCCAAAAGAGGCACCCACCTGAGACAACAGGCATCCCACCAGCTATATATATATATATATAAGTCTCATGGAATGGCTTTGCCAATAGCCACACTGGATATATAGTTCCATTGTGCAGAGCGAAACGGCGCGCACGCGCTACCTAAAGGTCCCTCTATCATATAATATAATATATATACATATATGCATACGGTAAACCACAAAATATAGGGCAACATATGCAGTTGCTTTAATGCTTGATGCGTCAAGGGTGATAAACGAAACTGCCAATAGATGCAAATGTTGTTAATGCTGATAATGCTACAGTAGTGCCATACTGTCCAGACTCCTATATAAGTTGGAACTACTGATCATCAGTTGGAGCTGCTGATCTAAGTTGCATCCAAAGAAGTATTTCATGGCCAAACAGCTGGTTCAGCCCGTTTCGTGACAAACCATAAGCCCCCGCATCTCATCGTGGTCATAGGATCTGGCAAACCTTAGCATCCAGCACAGGTAACTGCCAAGTCTCCCAAAAACAATCACGTTGCAAAAACACATTGAGTTGCCAATAAAATGCACACCAAAACGGTCACCACGCCATTCTTTTGGCAGTAAACAGCCAACGCCTCCATTCTCTAAGCTCTACACAAAAGGCGGCCATACTCATCCACGGGCATCCAATCCTTGGGCCCCAAAGTCTTCTCGGAGCCCCGCCTCCTCTCCCACGCTATGAAGACAACAAGCAGCACGCATGACCACCTGTTTTTTAATAGATTGTGCTAGCACCAAAAAAAGGCACCAAGGTTCACTTAGCTCACTGGATTCCATCACATTTCATGACCCATATTACTAGATAGTCAACTGGTTCGGTGCAAATCCTCGCAACCTGTCTAACATGCTCAACCCCCCTGGCTCAATGCAGCTACAAGTCGTCAATCACGGTGTGGTACCATTCTCCGTCTAAGTAGAACCTGGGCATCAATGCGGCAAATGGCAGGCGGCATTGGAGATCGTCAGTTATCACAAGAAACGTTCAAAAAACATCAAAAAGCTTACAGTATGGTCTTATGTATATATGCATACGCACCGGAATTTTCAATAAGTCCCCCCCTCATCCAACAAACTGCACGTGCTTTATGCAAAGCAGTCTCCCCACCTGATGCCGTAAACACCCACATCAACGTCGTAGGACATGAAGCAAGAGTGAACATTCTCGGGGTCCTCGGCTACCTGACTTGCTCGATGTGACATCATCATTGAAAATGGCTGGCCCACACAGTATGGTCCAGTAGGTTCTTGCTACTAGTGGTAATGCCCTTGTTGTTAGTATCTTCTTGTTATTAGTAGCGATGGCCTCCAACCTAATAGCGATGGCCTCCACCTAGTAGCTTCTAGTTTAGTAGGTCGCTAAAAAGGTCCAAACAAAACATGGACGAGGTGTATGAGCCACCAGTGCGGCAGGACAGTTTTGGTTCGGCGGTTGGATTGAGACGGCATCAGCCAATAACTCGAGTTAGACACAGTTAGACTGAGCTAGACCTGGTTTGGAGCAAGCAAATCCACAGCGATCCACATGTGATCAGGTCGGTGGAAGTTTCATTTGTTAATGCTTCAGCGTGCTGCGGCCCACGCAAGGGCTCCCAAAGCCTCAGCACTGGCACACTTCGACAGCACAGTCGTGAATATTCACTGTTTCAAGGCATCCCTATGTTCATCCATTCTCATCCAAGTTACAAGTTCATAATGTTTCATCCTTGTGTTCTCTTCAATGCAGTCTGCACTGATCAAATGAATTCAAACATGCCCCAGGCCCTGTCCTCCCTTGTCGGTGTTTTGCGTGACCGTGGTCGATCTATTTTGGTGTCATCCTCTGAACCTCAAGTCTGACCATCTAACAGGCTTGCTCCCCCACCAGCGTCAATAGAAAACAACATCCATATGGGGTTGTATAAAGACCCCGTATCCATTCGCTACATGCCAAAACATGTGATCGTATTTCTTTCCAGGTTTTCATCTCACACACAGGCCATACCCTAAACCCTTTGCGATGACGCTAGCCGCTAGCCTTGGGCCTCAGTTCTGTAAAACGTTCTTTTGTTTTTGACTTTTAGTGCTAGGCCTACCACCAGGATCTAGCATGGTGTCACTTCAAGGCTGTCCCAATTGTCTAAGCACTGGAGCACTAGTGACCAACTCACAGACTAGTCACTAGTGAACAAAAATTACACCACCGAAGACCCCAAACAGTTTGTGTTTCAAACTCGGAACACTCGGCAACTAGAGCCTGCGACGTCCAGAGCTGGGAGACAAAGGATTGCAAGGCAGAGGCGGACACAGCAGCCCAGAGCTGGGAGACAAATGTCAAGGATTGCAAGCAAGTGGCGGACACAGCAGCCCGGAGCTGGGAGACATGTAAAGGACTGCAACACAGCAGTCCAGAGCTGGCAGACAAATGGAAGGGATTGCAAGGCAGTTGGCACCGCGCAACAAGAAGGGAGACAAGAAGGGAAACAAAAGGAAACAGAAGGGAGACAAGGCGGACACAGTGACCAACAAGAAGGGAAACAAAGGGTGACAAGCCGGACGGAAGGCGGACACGCTGTCCCGCAGCAAGGCGGACACTCTTAGAAAGCATTGAGGACCCCTAACAGTGACCTGTTTGGGAAAGCGAAGAAAATCACCCGGGAGACAAATGAATAGAAATGCTGCATGGCCAGCGGAAAAGGGCGGACACCAGCAATGCAGGCACCGAACCTCAGAGACAGAAGGGAAGAAATTACATGGGAGACAAATGAATAGAAATGCTGCATGGCCAGCGGAAAAGGGCG